TTATTTATGATTTAATTAATCAATTATATATTTAATTAATTAAATATATTAAGGTCACAGATCTATAAATTTTGGTCACAAATTAACAATTTAATTAGTCACATATTATTTTTCGATCACAAATCAAAATTTTTATGTCACAAATTATTTTACGATCATAATTCAAAAAATTTATAGGTCACAATTTGTTCATCAGTCACAAATTTAAAATTTAAAAGTCACAATTTATTTATCGATCACAAATCTATTAAATTAATAAGTCACATATTATTTTTTAGGTCACATATTATTTATTGGTCATAATATCAATTATCGGTCACAAATCACAAATGTTAAAGTCACACTTCAAATTTTTAGGTCTCAAAATATACAATTTATTGGTCACAATCTCAAATAATTGGCCACAATCAACCAAATAATCTGTGATCACCACTAATGCTTGAGACAATCACCTCGCCACTGCCTCCAGCAACAGCACCAGCACTATCGCTGCCCAATAGCAATATCACCATCTCAAACAAACCGACACCACAACCTCCCAGCACCATTGTCAAGCACCATTATCACCACCGATCCCGATTCACCACCAATACTTGGTCATAAATCAACCAAATAATTAGTCACATACACTATCACGCCCCAGCCACTACCACAACACCACCACCACTAGCTCCAATACACTCCCACCAAAAATCATCACAACTACCCTTGCCATCGTCGCCACCACCACCATTTTTGCAACGCCACCACCACAGCACCATACCTAACCACCAATCACCGCACCACCGCCACGACCAGCAACACAGATACAGACATAGCCCTAACAACCCACCACTACCAGCCACCCAAACACCACCAAAAAATCAGATCCAAATTTATCAATTACCTCCATGACCACCACCAACATCACACCACCTCTGCCTCCTCCATTTCTTCACCCATATCTCGAACCATAGCCCAAAATTAGATCCAAAACCAGAACGCATCCAACATCACCACCACATCTACATCACCACCTACATCACCCATCACTACCACCAACTACAAACGCGGTCAACAAAATCATTGCACACCGTCAACTACAAACACGGCATCATCGCATAAATCCAAAAAGAGATCCAATCGACTGCAACGCAACGTATCCGACTGCATCATCTTTGAAATCGTATGCCGCTGCGGCAGTGATTGGCGAGATGCTGTCGTGGGCACCTCTTCAGGTATGTCGTAGTGGACGCCTCTTCAGCGATTGGCGACTGCATCATCTCTGAAACCTAAATCGTATGCCGTCATGGGCTCCTCTTCAGGTAGGTGCTCCGGTATGGAGGATAGAGAAAAGATGATTTAGAGAGAGAGAAGAAAGTGGGGAATAATTAGGGATTGTGAGTGAAATTGGGTAGGGTAAATACGTAGAATAATTTATTTATTTTAATAATATGATTAATATTTAAATTTTAAATTAATACCTGATTTTTGAAAAAAAAAATTATTAAATCTTAATTTTGAATTTGATAGCTTTAGGAGTGGATGTAATTTTCCCTTATTATTATGTGTAATGACACAAGTAGTGTATTGAAAAAGGCCAAGAATTTCTTTTTGGGTCTCAATGAACTAAGCCCAATTCAACCCTAAAACCCTAACTCAACTAAAGTATATATTCATCGCCTTCAGCTCCGATCCAATTCTATCAGAGTAACACTAGGTGTAGGGTTTTCGTTCGCCAGAGAGAGAAGCCACCCTTAGCCATGGCGTCGAAAACAGAATCCGTACAATGCTTCGGCCGGAAGAAAACCGCCGTCGCGGTTACCCACTGCAAGCGTGGCCGTGGATTGATTAAGATCAACGGCGTCCCCATCGAGTTGGTCCAACCGGAAATCCTGCGTTACAAGGCATTTGAACCCATTCTTCTCCTCGGTCGCCACCGCTTTGCCGGAGTGGATATGCGCATCCGTGTCAAGGGTGGTGGTCACACCTCCCAAATATACGCTATCCGTCAGTCCATTGCCAAAGCCCTCGTTGCTTTCTACCAGAAGTACGTGGATGAGCAGTCAAAGAAAGAGATCAAGGACATCCTCGTGAGGTACGATAGGACCCTGCTTGTGGCAGATCCCAGACGCTGTGAACCCAAGAAGTTTGGTGGTCGTGGTGCTCGTGCAAGGTTCCAAAAATCATACCGTTGAAATACTGGTAGTGGTGTTGCTTTTATTATATCTCAAACATGGTTATTCATCGGCTGTAGTTTGTTATGGGATTAAATTAAGTTTTTGTTGATGGGACTATCCGTTATGTTTGGATCATTGCTATCTGTTTCCGTTTGCATTAGACTCATTGAGACCCCTTCAATTAATACATGTCAATTTCTAATTGCAATTGCTTTGGTTGATAGGTTTTATGCTTAGTATGGTGCATTGTTGTTCTTGATACTTAATTCTTCTGGATGTGATGATTGCTATGGATGATGGATCCATAGCAAATTAAAGAATATTCATGCATGTTCAATAACTCTAAATGGCTTTTACACATATAATGTGTGATCTCTTTGTTAAGTCTCTTTGTCCCTTCGTTACATGTGTTTAATTTTTGATTTATTATTATTAAACTCGAATTCTTATTTTGTGCTGAAGCAAATTATAAAGCACAAGCTCAAACAGGTGAAAAGGTCTGAATGATCATCTCTACAGTTAGCTGTTAGAATCAATAGGTCTTCAAAATTTTCATTTGTAAAATGGAAACACTTCTTATTGGATGATTATGATGCTTCCCAAAAGTTTATGTTCTTTCCAATTGCATTAGATTTGTTTGATTGTATTGGAAATTGTAGAGTCAGTAGATACGAGTTGGGGTCATTGGGGAAACATAATTGAGCGGGAGTTTGTTGTGCAGAATGGAGTAGTATTGCTAGGACCGAACTCGAAAACCACATCCCGAAAAACCAACCCAACCTGACCCGCTTTGGGTCGGTTTAGGGATAAATTTTGGTTGGGTCGGGTAAAATAAATTTAAAATAATTGTGGGTCGGGTCAGTTCATTGTTTAAAGTCTCACAAACCGACCACTGAAACCCTATTAATCAGTTTGATACAGAAAGGGATCACACACTTTGCCAAGTCCTCCAGCAACAGAATCACGTCGCTCATTATCTCAACTCCGTCGAGAACGAGCGTGGTGGAGGCGAGTGATAGAGAGGTCAGGATCGGAGGGCCAGAGAAGGTAGGTGGCGACGACGAGGAAGGTCAATAAAGTGCCCAAGCATATTAGGAGACGGCGGCAGGAGTTACTGAGAACATGGTTGGTGTGCGGTGGTTGGTAGGTCAATACGACAATGTATGGTGGTTCTTGGTGTTGGGAATCAGAAAGGAGGGGCTAAGTATTTGAATGCTTTGTTGGGTGCATTTTTTGGTTGGTACCGATTGGAGGGGACTTCTTTCCTGGAGATTGAGGAAGGAGAGGTGGGTCCAGTTTCTTCTCTGCAATTTTGTCGAGTTTCAGCTAAAACTGCCATTTATAACTTGAAAAATTGAAATCGCATTAAAACATGGACGATCTTGCTTGGGGAAGATTAAGATTTTCAATTTTGATTGCAGCCAGCAATGGCAGGTTCTGATTACTAAAACATGTTTTGGTGTTGCAACAACGAATTTTTTGGTGTTTATTGCTGCAATCTGATTGCTTGGTGTTTTATGGATTTATGGGATTTATTGGTGTTGCCGCCTTGCTGAAGCTAGAAGTAGCCGCAGAAGCAATTTAATTGGTATTGGTATTGTTTACTTTTGTTTATTCTGCAATTTAATTTTGGAGTTGGACCCGACCCGACCCGATTCGGGTCGGTTCGGTTTTGGGGGAGGAGCCGGTTTGGTTGTGTGTAAGAGTTCAAAACCGAGTATATCAGGTCGAGTCGGTTTTGGGCCAAACCCGACCCGGCCCATTGCCCACCCATAAGTATCGCCCACTTTCTCTGGTACAAGTTACAGATTGATGATTCCGAAACCAGCTTGAAATTGATTGCCTGGAATCTGGATGTCATTTAGATAAATGTATGGGTTTTATCTGTTAGCTTATGCTTGTATAGTTGTATTGACTTTGGCTTGTATTATCTTGAATCTTTTGTTAAAGATTTGAATTCCACCATTAATAACTGAATTACAACCAGTGCATGATGTTGCATCAATTGTGTTACCTTCTGTTGAAATTTTGAATTGCAGCATTTTCCTTGAGATGAATTTTGGTTTCCTAGATATGGTTTCTTCTCCCCCTCTATGCGCTCTCCAATAATATAAAGAATTATGTTAAGTGTAAATTCCATGTGTTATATCTTGGTTGACATGAGGCACAATGTAAAACAAGATGTACATGTAGCATGATCGACATAAACACTTGGAAACGTTAGATATTATCTGAGTGTCGTCCAGTGTTAATATTCGGTGGATGCATTGACATTTGGCTTGTTAAGCTTAGCAATTTTACTAGAACATTAGGACCAATAGCATGTGCTTTGCCTGTTTTGTTGTTAGGTTCGCCATTAATCTACACATAACAGGACCTGGTATACTAATGACCTACTTCGTGACTAGCCAAGAATTCTTGTTTAAATGCCAAACCAGTTCCTAGACTCCTGATGAAGCAGCCTGTAGCCCCCGTTTGGCCTCATTTTTTAAAACGCATTCTTCTAAGAGCAATTTTTATAGTTACCCGTATAATAACAGCCGCTCAAACTTGAGAATCGCAACTCTGTGTTCACAACATCTATCTTAGCCCCTGTTTGAAACCCTGTTTTGCTACAAAAACGTGATTCCCTACAGTGCATCCCTGACAACCCTCCCCAAAAGTCAAAAACACCGGCAGAGGACCCAGAATTGTGTTGATCTACCCGTTGTATGCTTTTCCCAGTTTTGCCCCCAAACACAGCGGCTTCTTCTCCACCTAGTGCTTCAACCCGAGACGAAAAACTTGTCTGCCACCGGAATTTTCATGTAACAATCAGCCACGAAACCAGATCTCTGCTTTAAATCCAGTAGGCTTACGGGTTCGTTTACTAGCTGCCCACCGAACACCCAACCGACCGTTTCCCTCTTCACCGTGTCCGACTACCGTCAACCACTAGAATTTTCCCTACGACAGAGGGGTTGTACACAGCGATCTGGAGCTGCAAATCGGTCTACATCCGGCGTCCACCATCAATTTCTGACCGGCTATCATGGACCCCAACTTCTCCCCGTGGCCGAGTTCCCCCGACCGTACGATAAGGCTCTCTTCGAACTGTGCATTTCCGTCTACCGTTTATGTGTGACTTTGCTACCGAATTCATTTTCAGTAATGTTGTGCAAATGGGTTGAATTCGTAGTAGAAAACTTATGTGCTCATAGTGTAGAGATTGCAAATATGATGAATTGAGACTTTCACTTCCACGGGCACTTGTCTTGCGCTACCGACATCGGTCATTACGCAGTCAGTACCCACCGCCATTACTTAGCAATTGAAAATTTGGGTTCATGTTTTCAGGCATTTTATCCTACACGCCTCATTCGATTTCCCCTGTCCAAATATTTGCACACACAACTTTTCCAGGGAATGGACTCCGTTGCAATTGCCGTATACACTTACTCTAATGTGTCAATTTTCCCATGGCAGTGGTTCGCAAGTGGGAGCCCCGACATGTTGCCATCTGCTCCGTCACACACGCAGGCAAACTCGTCCCGGGTGCGTAAGACAGCGAGGTGGAACCAGGCAGAGCACAAAGTATTCATCGAGACCTGCGAATTAGTTGTAGCTGAAGGCCATCGACGAGGCAAATGCTTCTCCTCGACAGGATGGCGTCGTATAGCAGCCATGTTCAATGCCTCTACGGGGAAGGATTGGACAGTATCGCAGATGAAGAACTACTGGAATAAATTGAGAACGGATCACAAATGCCT